AGGGGGGAAAAGTGGGGAAGGGTGGGGCGGGGGCTGGACGCGGGGCCTGGGGAGGCGCGGAGGGCGCGCCTGCGGGCAAGAGGCAGGACGCGGGAATCCGCTCCGGGAGCTCGCGGACGCGCTCGGCGCGAGTTAGCAGCCGCAGCCGGCCTTGCTCCCCTCGCCTGATCCTGGGGCGGGGTGGAGCCACCTAAAAGAAGAAGGCGAGAGACAGAGACGGGGGGGCGGAAAAAAGCCGCTGCCAGTTGCAAAACCCCAAACCGAGGGGCGCCGCGGCACACTGAAGCGCGCGCGGGGAGAGTGGCAGGAGGAGGCGCGCTCGCGGAAGGGCGGGGACAGCCCTGCAGCCGCTCACCTGTTCCAGCGCCGCGGCTGGGCCGTCGCACGTCGGCTCCCACCCTGCCCGTCTCCTCCTCGGAGCGCGTCACCGCGGGGACCGCTTGCCTAGCGCTTTCCCGGTCCCGCTACTCTCCCATCCGGTCCCAGCCCTATCTCTTCAACTCTCCCATCTCTGCAGGCGCCCAGCTCGCACCTTTGCTGGGTCTGTGTGTTCTGCCTCAGCACCCTCACTCCATCCTCCTGATCCCCCTTCCCTTTCACACCCCTGTGGAATTGTCCCTCAGTCCTTCCCCCAAGTATATCTGGAGCCAAGTCTCCTTTCTCTGACTTCCTCAAACCGAGGCTTGCTTCCTCTGCTGAGTTCTTACCTGTCTCTTCTTTCCGCGAGGACTCCCGAGGAAGGCAGACTGAGACCGAGGCCTTGGGCTCCCTGAGAGTCAAGAGGGAAGGCTGTCCCAAGAACCCAGAGTGAAGCGTCAGTAAAATCAAGCTCCCTAAGCCTCCTCTCTTTAGATGAGAGACATCTTTTTTGCCCGGCCTCTGGAGAGGCGTCACGGCTGGCCCTGGACTCCAACAGGTCACCACCTACCCCAGACACCAGGGACAAATGCTCTTCCAGCTCTAATACGTTATATGGTCTATGCTTCTGACCTATTTTTTCTTCCCCCAGAGCCACACCAAATGCTTTCTGGAACTTTCTTTTTCTTCCCACATCCAATACAGGAAATGCATCAATTGAAGAACTCAGTTGGAGTGGATTGTATCTCAAAAGTTCCTTTACAGGTTACTTGTTTGGAGCTCAACCTTCATCTTTCCAGGGTAACAATATTATAATTACTGGTTACCTTTCCAGGCCAATCCAGAAAAGCTAACATATCCCATATAGCCAACCTCCCAGTGTCCGGGGGGCCACAGGACCTTGAACCTCTCTGGTTCTCCACACACCCAAAGCAAGCCTCATGGGCCTCTCAAAGTGTTGCACACTTATCTCCCCTTCCTACCCTTCTCTCCCCTCTCTCCAATAACAAAACACAACTCACAAATCTGTGAATTCCGCAGAGTTCAACCCAATGAAGCAAGGTGTCAGGAGGAAAGAAGTCTTATGGGACATGTTCACACTAACATGTATCATCGTCATCATTGTCATCAGAAGTTCTCTGACCCTTCCAAGAATTATACTTTTAATCAACGATGCTTAAAACTGAGATGAATCTCTAAAGAGTGCAGTTCCAGGCAGGGTCACAGAAGAAAATGAAAACATTTGGACTTTTTTTGGGGGGGGTGGAGGTGGCTGGGAGAAGCACTGCAGACCAACCAGGAGGAGCCTTTGGATGGTTGCTTCTGCTTGTAGCTCCCTCCTTTCCTGTATTTTTTTAACTAGGTGGTTTTCCAAAGTTCTGTATTCTTTCATGCAAAGGCACCCAAGGCAGGGACAGCAGCCACAAGGACCCGTTAGCCCTCCGTGTGGAGGATGAGCAGGGAGCTAATGTAGGCAATGCCACTGTTGGGGGGAAAGTTAAGTAGGGTTGGCCGTCTGCTATAAAAGCTTAGGACTCATACACATCACTGTTGAGGGAAAATCAGAGCCTGAGAGCCTGTCTTCTACCCAAAGCACACGAAGATGGAGACAGGCACCAGAATGCCAGTGTGTTGATTTAGAAATCAAGAGAACTGACCCTGGACCAGAAAGCCTCTGTCAGCATCACGCCTGCATCTGGTCTCCGTGGTCAAGCAACGTGGGAGGCCTAGGCACACCCAGAGGTAATTTATTGATTTGTCATGAGAAATCGTAGGCTCTGGGATGGGAAATTCTCAGCCTCTCTATGATTGGCACTTTTTTTTTTTTTTTCCCTGCTGAAACAAACCTGCATGGGAAGGAGCAGGTTGCTTGTTGAAAGTAGCACCAGAATGAGGGGAGTGCATTATTTAATATTATTAGGCCTCAGGCATGCATCTTAGCCAGAGATGGCTTTGCCAATGGAATTATAACAACAGCTCGTGTTCAAGGTGCTAAAGATAGTAAGTACCTCCTACAGTTGCTGGGAGAATTAAGTAAATTAATATAACTATACATATTAACTTACTTAATTCTCCCAGCAACTCCATTTCACCAGTGAAGAAATGGAGAGATTTAACAACTTGTCCCAGTCATGTAGCAAGTCAATAGCAGAGCCAAGGTTTAAAGCCAGTTATTCTGACTCCAGAGTCTGGACTCTTCACCACTGTCCTACACTGTTTCTTGAAAATACTCAGAACCTGTCAGCTACAGCCTCTGTGTTTATCTGCACACGAGGCCAGCTGGGGGCAAAGCACCATGTGTGAAAGCCCTTCTCTAGACAGTATGTGGAGGAGTAAAGCTAGCAGTTTCCACTGACCTCTTCTTCTTTCCAATATTAGAGAGTACATTATTGACACTTTTTTTTCCTTAGACATGCTCATGCATTGAAACTGGTGACTGTTGTCTTTCTGGCCTAGGAGCCATATTTTGTCCTGCAAACCACTCTGCATTTCTGGCCCCTGATGATTAACCCTGACTCTCAAAGGGAAATACTATTTACCTCATTTCTTAGTTCTTGGGGGGCTACTTCACTGTAGCCGCATGATACTTGCAATTAGGGCAGGTTATACTCTCTTGTGAGGCATTAGTAACTCAGTGGTAGAATTCTCACCTCCATGCAGGAGACCTGGGTTTGATTCCCAGCCCATACACCTCATGCGCAGCCACCAGCTGTCTGTCGGTGGAGGCTTTCAAGTTGCTATGATGTTGAACAGGTTTCAGCAGAGTTTCTGAACTAAGAAGGACTAGGAAGAAAGGCTTGATGATCAACTTCTGAAAAATCAGCCCATGAAAACTTTGCAGACCACAACAGTCCAATTCCCAACTGATCATTGGGATGGTGCAGGACTGGGCAGCCTCTCGTTCTGTTGTGCATGGGGTCACCATGAGTCAGGGTGATTGAACAGCAGCTAACAATGCTCTGTTTGAGCTCTCCTTTTGAAGAATGGTCACTGTAAAGAACTTAAGAGACTTCTGACTCCCTCATTTTATAAGGTTTGCATATATGATGAGAGAGGCCAATGACCGACCCAAGGCCACATGCTGAGTTTGTGGCAAAGCCAAGTCTAGGTCTGGATTTTCCTGACTACCAGTCCAACTTCAGTATTCCGGAAAATATACCTGGAACCACCCTCGTCCCCCTTTTTTTAACCAGATTTGTTTTTGCTTAGCTCTGTTTCCTATTCTGTGTCCTTCTTCTGTCCTAAACTTTTGACTTCCGTTTCTCACTCAGCCAAAACCAGGATCCTCCTGTGCCTCTTTCCTGTGGGACAGACATTTTCTTACAGATTTTGGGTGAACTTAGACTTGCTAGAGCAGGTTGCACAATCCTCAGCGTCACAGGGACCAAGGATACATGAGGGAACAGCAGCATGTGGTGGAAGGAGCAGGACACACCCACTTATTCCACAGTCTTGTTGTGAACCTACCCTGTCCCTGGCACTGTTCGAGGTGCTGGGATTTGGCAGCAGACAAGTTGGCAACAACCTGCTCTGTGAAACTCACATTGTAGTGGATGGTAGAGTGAGGTGGAACAGACTGTAAACACGTAAATAAAATACTTTCGTGTAGAAATAAATGCTATGAAGAAACTAAAACAGAGTAATAGGATCGAGAGCCACTGGGGGCAAGGGCTCCTGGGGGTGACGGCTGTCAGGAAAGACTTTGTGAGAAGGTGTCACTGACTGAGACACGAATCATGAGCAGAAGGAAGCCTGGCAGAGATCCAGGGAAGAGGGTTTCAGGAAGAAGGAAGACCCAATGCAAAGCAGCTGAGACAGAACCAACCTTGTCTGGTTTAAAGAACCAAAAGGAGGTCAGCGTGGCTGGGAGAGCCCATGGGAGGAGGATGGAGTCAGGAGAGATCAGAGAGACAGGCTGGACCAGATCTCATAGATAAGGCCTTGTAGGATACCCACACAGACCAGCTGCTTGTTCCCTTTGAGCTTCAGCAACCATACTCGGGATTTTCAGGGACAGTCCCGACTTCAAATATTGCTTCCTCTTACCACCTAAGTACACTTCTACTGGTTTGAACACATGCTCCAGGATTTAGGTTTGTAAAATATGATCATTGTACTTTTGGACTTTTGACTGAAGAGTAGGTTGAGCATTTTTAGGGGAGATTTTTCACATCTACGGTATGGAGAGCGGATACAAGGTGAATAGTGCAGAAGAGGAAATGGAGTGCTCTTGGATAGCTGGGTGTGAATTAGAGAACAGCATGAGAGAAAAACAGGAGGGATGCTTGAAATGCAAAACTCCTAAGGCGAGGCCTGCCTGTGTAAATACCTATTGACTAAACACTTACAAGGAGCCCTGGTGGCATAGCGGTTAATTGCTCAGCTGCTAATTAAAAGATTGGTGGTTTGAACCCACAAGCGGCTTCACAGGAGAAAGATGTGACAGTCTTGGA